AAAAACTTGAAATGCTCTATAATAATCAGCTCTCTTCTCATCTATTGTCTTGTCAGCTGGAGGGGGATTCAATAATGAGTTTTCTCTTAATGCTGTCATCAACACATCAATGATAGTAATTTCATTTTCCTCAAAGCTTGCCTGTAAATAAAATAATTGTTTTAACTGACACCATAAAATGTACCATAAATATATCTGAAGTCTTTTTCCACATTTTATATTTCTCTTCCTTTGATTCTGTCTTCAAATCTTTAGGTAAATTACGAAATGCATTTTTAAAATAATTTTGATACAGAAGTATAACATCTTGATGCGTAGTGTCTCCAGGAGTAACATCACCATACATTTTACGAGCATCACGAGATGAACTCTCTTTTCTGTTAAAAAATGTCTTATATATAGCTTCAATTTTAATCATACTATACTTGTCCAATTCTGAAGTTTCTGGCTTTAGTTCATCACACTGTCTGTATTGAAATTTGATAGATCTAGTAATTAACATAATTTTTACTTTTCAAGATTTTCCAGCTCCTCAGTTAGCTCTGCAATCTTTCTGTAAAATTATAAAAGGGCACAATGGACATGACACTATATATATACCTTGTTTGTTCAAAGTATAACTTTTCATATGTTTTACACTGGCTACAATATTAAGTATGCATGGTAATATATATTCAGTAAATATTGATATACTTACTCCTCCTTTTTATTAGCTTCATCAAAAAGATGTTTCATATGCACCTCAGCTTGAGTAAAAATGTCATACTCACCTTCCATGTTTACTCCGGCGTAAAGGCGTGTTCCGGGAGCGGTAGATCTATAGATATAATAAAAATTATCATAGATCTATTATTCATGAATCGCGGAGATCTTACAGATGTACACAGTTCCAAGAATAGTTAATTCAGTTGTGGCTAAATTTCCAGGAATTGGGCTACTATAGTTATTATTATTCATCGTACATCTGTGATAATATTCATCCATGCAATTCTTGGAATTGTTTTCTAAAATGATGTGACTCTGAAATTCTTAGAAAAACTAGGCTTCAGTAGATCTACATTCCTTATCATGTACTTGGATGGTATAAAGGTCAGAATTAAATCAGACTCTATCACTTGTAAAAGTAATAGCAATGGCAGCATCAGCAGGATACTATGCAATTGGTTTTCGAAGCATTCAAGTTATTCAAGTTAGACTTCGAAAACCAGATTATAAGCCTCCATTTACAAGAGCTAAAAAGATTTCCCGTACAGATGTTGGCTATCGTGTTACTAATGGCAATATTGCTGCTATTGATTTTGGTACTACATCAGTTTCAATTTCCTTCATTACAAAAGGAGATGAAAAAATTACCACACTTAGACTTGATCGTGAAGGTGACCAGTCTACTCGTGTTCCTAATGCTCTCCTTTTGAAGAAAGAATATAATGGCAAAATAAAGGTAGAAGCTTTTGGAAGTAGAGCTCGTAGTAATTTTACTTCAATGAGATCAAGTGAACATCACACCCATATCTACTTTGAAAGAATCAAAATGTTAATGAGAAGAGAAAAGGTATAATAATAGTCTATATTAAGAAAAACTATCAAATCTTTAACAATTTTAGGTGGTTGACAGAGATACAGTAATTGAGTCATTTTCTGGTAATAG